ACAAGTTGCACGCAGGATGCGCTTCGTCGCGATGATTGCCGATCGAAGTGCAACGATTTCATAGAACAAAGTCTCCGGGAATCCATTGCTTTCGTACGTATTCGCGATTTTCCTCGATGGAATCGCGTTTCACCAAGCGTACACGCACCAATTTGGCTACTAACAAAAGAGTCAAAGTGTTCGCATTTTCAATCGAAGATCCAAAAAAGCTCGAATCACCTACTCTGGCAATCGAATCTTTTCTTTCGGGATCAGTTTCTTTCCAATACGCGTTGCACAGGTCGACGAAAGTATAAGAATTTCGATTCAAGAGAAGAATCGCAAACTCGAGGTAAATATTCTTGAAGGGTTCCTTTTCTGAGACCGTTTTATGGCTGAAAGGATCGCCCGACTTAATTACTGTAGAACCAACAAAACGCGGAATCCCGGGAAGCTTCTACGAAGAATTGGATATTCTCCGTCGCGGAAAAAGAGATCCGACCGTTCGAAGAAACCCGACGGGAAGAAGTCCGTCCGTCCGTCTGTCCGGACGAATCCTCCATTTCCGGTACAAAAGGGGGAGACCGGTGCCGGAAAAGCGCGTGACGGTCGTCGGATTTCTCGGGCTCGGGGCTTCTAAACGCGAAGAGAAGAGTAACGTTCGGCACGGCGCAATAAAGTATCGCATCTCGTCGCGGCGACGCGATTAATCGTGGCCTCGGCAAGAATTAATTGCCGACGCCGCAATAATTTATCGTCGCCGGCCGCGCCGAGATATTTTACAACGCGCGCGCGCGCGCGCTCGCGCTTATTTTTCGTGGTTCCGCGGCCGCGATAACCTCTGCGACCCGGTTTTCCCTTAAGAAAAACCCGCGGCACGGCCAAGGAAATCTCGCGCGGCGAATTCCTCGCCGTCTTTTACGAGCATCCGGCGGCGACGCGTTTCCACGATGATTCGCAGCCGATCGTTCGCCTTATCATTTCCCCCTTAACCTTGCTCTCCCGCGTCTTCCCCGATCGCGGATAAAGTATGCATGAGCTACGGCCCAGGCTTTATCGCGCGATGTCTTAATCCCTCGGAAGCCCACAATGCTTGTTCAATTATTCATCGTGCGTTAGCCCCCCGTGCGGCGCCTTTCTTAACGCTCGTTTATTGGTTTCAAACATTCCCCCGGCCTGGCGGCGAAAATTTCATACTTCGCCACCGGAATCCCGTCTCAACCGACTTCGATATATCGATTACTTTCCCGTAATAAATAGCTCTGCGTTCGTACAGATTGTGTCCGTCAAGCTTTCGGCAGAAATTCGAAGCAGTTTTCCGTATACAGGGTGTTTTCTCGCTAACGTTAGCTAAGGTTTTTCTTCCAAATGGTAAACATCAGGAGAAAATAAAGGCGGAAGAAGATACTTTTTTTTACGCAAGTAATGGTGTCTTATGTTGTTTCTTATCTGCATTATTTGTTTTTAAATTGAGGAAAAGAAATATTAAATTTTTTTAATGAATTTCTATGTATCTTTGTATGATATGAAAATATATCTCAAAATGAGTTCCATAGTGTGCGACATAATGACCTTGAAGAGGTCAAATAGAGGTCAAAAGAGACATACGTGCACAAAGAAATTCCATTGAATATGTATTCGAATCGCGGCTAAAAAGTAAATGTTCAGTATGATTTCTTCGTACATGAAATCATCTATTTGACCTCGTGCGACCTTGAAAGTCGTTGCATCATATCGTAGAAGAATGATTTCGTTTTGGTATATACTTTTTCATACAATATAAAAAACAATACATAAGATTCCATTTACAAAATTGAAGATCAACTTGATTTCTAAAAGAAATAATGCTGATAAAAGACAATTACGGACACCGTTACATTGCTTGCAAAAAACAGTATAACCTTTTTTCAACTTTTTCTAATATTTACCAGTTGCAAGGTATTTGAATTTGTCGTAAAAATACTATGAAAACACAAATTTTCAAAATTTTATCTTAGAAACCACTGTTCACATGCTTGCCCCCCCTCCCCGTTCCTTCCCTTAATAATATCAATATATTAGTGAACGCTTAGTAAAATTATCAAAGAGAGAATGAAATGTTATTTTGCGTGAAGATCCGCAGTCTAGAAATTACAAATGCATAATGCCAAATGCAGCTGCAACCTTGAAGATGCGACCCGCAATCATTTGTTATGGCAGTTGTAACCTGTATAATATCCAAAGGGTTGAAAATCAGACTTTCTACTGCCTTTGGAAAGCGTGCTATCATATTACGGTCTTCGTCAGTTGTAACTTACAAATGCAATAAATTCTCTCTAATTGACCCTCAGCTTGCGAACAAAAATGGACGATTTGGAAAGGGGGGATACGATTATTCGAGCTTTGTAGCTCGTTTTTATAGTTATTGACAAGCGGTGGTTATAAAAACGAGTCGCGAGAATCGAATAATCGTATCTCCTCTCTCCAAATCGCCCATCTTCGTTTCGAAGCTACAGGTCAATTATGGAGAATTTACTGTACACTGTTTCTTTCCATCCTTTCTATCTTTTTATATGTTTGCATGTACGCAACGATTCCTGCTTTGTACGTTGAATGTTCTGTAACCTTTTGCAAGTTTGCATCGTACAATGCATTATTAAATCTCACATGAGATTTCAATATCAAAAAAAGGAAGCATTTCAATATCAAAGCTTCCCTTAGTATCTCGTCGTAACCGACGAGAAAACGAATTTGTCCATTTACATATAGGGTGAACTTAAGTTAACCTTGAGTCTCGAAGCTAGAAAATGTATTAATCGTAACTCTTGTTACTATCCAGTACTAGAAGAATAGTTTGCAACCTTGGATTATCTGGGCCTCCAAGATTAAAATTTTGAAATTATGCACACTTGTTTGTTATCACTATGCGAGACGATTTTCTGTATAAATTAATAAAGACTAAAGTAGCATTCCAACTAATTAACTGTTTCATTATTCGAACATTCATGTCACCCTGGTTAGGGTGATTAGGGTATTTAAAAATTGTATTCGCTGATTATTGTTCACAGAACAGTAAAGGTACGTGGCTGATCACCGCCTCGTTGAAATCTCAGGGAAATACAGTATCATATCGAGCATAGCGTTACGCCATTCGGACAATTTACAGCACGTGGTTACGTCTTATTAGTCACGTGCAAGTGCAACAAGCGACTTCGCGCCGCAGTTACACAAGGCAACTGTAGCTACAAATACGCGGTGCAATTCGTGACTGTAAATGTAAATTGCAGTTGCATAATGAAAGCTGTAAGCAGCGGGCGGGGGGTGCAGTTGCAGAATGCAACTGCAAGCTGCATTTGCATTTATATAATGTAATTGCGAAATGCAGTTCTATAATACAGATACAACATGTAATTACTATTGTGCAACTGTGATACGTGATTACGCAGTATGTGTACATAAAGTATCTGCAGTATGCGTTTGTGAAAGGTGATTGCGAACCGTAACTGCAAAATTGTAATTGCGGCAAAAAGTATTGTTTCGAACATGACATAAGATGCAATTAGTTCACAGAGCATTGAATTTAAACGCCAAAAAATAAGTAATTGGAGTTGATCAACTCATGTACACAGGGTCACAGAAGTTTTTCAGAGTTTGCATTTCTATAAAATCGCGATATCTGAAAAAAATGTTGACTCTAAACCGCGGTGGTCAAATTTCAGATTTCGAATCAGAGGAGTGGGGGTAGGTCACGTGGCGCACCCGGGCACCCGAACAGCGACGTAGAGATTCTGCGACTCTTTTCTCATTTGCTTACTCGATTTTTGTCACTCTGACCATTTGATATTTTGACTAAAACTTGATATATTATATGTAATTATTAACACTTTATCGACCGCTAGCCTATTTATCGGCTTATCGATTGCCAATGCTTATCGACCGATAGCCTATTAATCGACTTTTAGCTATCGACGGTTTTCGCTTCTTTGCTGTTTTGTTAGTAGCTGACCTCCTGTATGCTGACCTCCCCATATCCTTATGAATTATAATTATAATAATTATATTATTATTTATTATTATTTTTAAAGGAATAAGCACAACACAATGAATAGCGAAAATTTAGCCGGTACTGGGAGCAAATGCGCGCGCGACTAAGCCAGTCCTTACT